CACTGTGCAAAAATGAAGGTTTATTTTGAACTGTGCAATTAGTGTCGATTTTACTTTTTGCACCGTGCAAAAGGCTTCTTTTGGGATGTCGCTGCACCCTGATTTTTTCTGCACATTGCAAATACCAAAAAACACCAGCGACTTTACGAAAGGACTAGTAAAAAAGTGGCTAAAAATGGACGGTTTACCTCATAATTGCAGTCAAACTTCAGCACAACGAATCAGAAAGGATCTTATAATTTATTTGCTTTAGAAATTCTACGTACTACGGAGATTCCGTTGTGGCAAAAATTGATTATTGAGGCCTCTGAAATTATTTGTTATAGGCATATTTTGTCGTAAGAAAGTTTGCTGTATTACGATCAACATTACTTATTACTTTACAAGAACTCCAAAAAGGGTCATTTCTACAACAATTTATACATATATATCTCGGTACAAAATTAAAATGTCTTTAAACGATACACTCTTCTCTTCAATAGACTTCAAAATTTTGGACGTGTCACATTTTTAAAGCCTCTCGTGTTTAGAATTTTACCCCTAAGGACATCTTGTTTTGCATCATGGTCACTTTGTCGCGTTTTAAAAGCCTTCTTCCGAGCGGAAGTTAAAAGACGATTTTTGGCTCGCTGCGTCAGCGGTGGACATAGGAAAAAATCGATTTTGGGTTTTTTGCAAAAAATTTACCGTCGACATGTGCTAAGGAAAAGCGAACAACAGTTTTTCTCAATTCTGCCCGGAAGGCATAAATTTGCTTAAATTTGTCTTTTTTGGAATTTTCGACCTGGTGACGTCATAGAAAGAGCAAATCACCCAAAATTTTGCTTGTATACGTTTTCGACCATTGGGAATTCATTTTTTTGAAAATTAAGTCTCTCAGATTACTGTAACATAGGCATATTGTAATCCGGTCGATAAAAATCGACCGTAACTCCTTCGTATCAAAAATCCCACAGGATTTTATTTCAGATTCAGAATCAGCATAAAATTTTGCATATTATACACATAATGTGAGGTCATAACTCCAGGGGGGAGATCGCGTAGTATATTGGATTTTGACAAAAATTACGTTTGAAAGGTCGCGGGTTCGATCCCCGCTTGGTGCAAATATTGAAAACACAGCGGAAATCGCGTTTAATGGATACCTCAGGGTTATGTGAGATACAATAAGCAATTTTAAACATTAATGCCTATCTAAGTGCGATTAAAACTGATTTTATATAATTTTTGGAGACTGAATATGCAAAAAATGAAACTGCTTCAAACCGCTTGAAATTGGCAACACTTATTCTAGGGTCAATTGTAAGAAACTTTTGTGTTAACTTTTTTCGGTAGATCACCGTACCATGGATTATTGTAACATTAAACATGATTTGGTTTTTCGTGTACCACATGGCGCAGAAAAGTCGGACTGTCGTCATTGTGCTCAGAATGGTTAAGAAAGAGTTTTCTTGTGTACAAAAAAAATTTTATGGCTGTACCGTTTGGAACGGCCGAATTATTTGACGCACTTTCACCATTTGATTATGACATCAAGACGCGTTACAATTAAGGGCGAATTTTCTTTCAGATATAGAAAGTGGATCTTTTCGCTGTCTAAAGCGACTAATTAAAACGATTTATTATTTTATGCAAGAATTTTGAAGAAAATTGCTGTTAATCAGGACACGTTTAATGCTACAGTAATCCATAGTACGGTGATCTACCGAAAAAGTTAACACAAAAGTTTCTTACAATTGACCCTAGAATAAGTGTTGCCAATTTCAAGCGGTTTGAAGCAGTTTCATTTTTTGCATATTCAGTCTCCAAAAATTATATAAAATCAGTTTTAATCGCACTTAGATAGGCATTAATGTTTAAAATTGCTTATTGTATCTCACATAACCCTCAGGTATCCATTAAACGCGATTTCCGCTGTGTTTTCAATATTTGCACCAAGCGGGGATCGAACCCGCGACCTTTCAAACGTAATTTTTGCCAAAATCCAATATACTACGCGATCTCCCCCCTGGAGTTATGACCTCACATTATGTGTATAATATGCAGAATTTTATGCTGATTCTGAATCTGAAATAAAATCCTGTGGGATTTTTGATACGAAGGAGTTACGGTCGATTTTTATCGACCGGATTGCAATATGCCTATGTTACAGTAATCTGAGAGACTTAATTTTCAAAAAAATGAATTCCCAATGCTCGAAAACGTATACAAGCAAAATTTTGGGTGATTTGCTCTTTCTATGACGTCACCAGGTCGAAAATTCCAAAAAAGACAAATTTAAGCAAATTTATGCCTTCCGGGCAGAATTGAGAAAAACTGTTGTTCGCTTTTCCTTAGCACATGTCGACGGTCATTTTTATGGAAGAAACTCAAAATCGATTTTTTCCTATGTCCCGGGTCCATTACGGGCTAACGCAGCGAGCCAAAAATCGTCTTTTAACCGCCGCTTTGACATGCATGTTTTTTCTTTGGCATCAGTTACTCCCGAAAATTTGCGTTTTGACTTTGTAGAGGCAAAGTCAAATTTCTAGGCCGAAGGTTGGCCAAAGTACATAAAATTTTTCACACAGTTTTCGCCGTTGAGGTTATATTTCTACAAATTTTACCTTTAATTTCGAACGACACTATCTATGGTGTATGGCCAAGAAAGCCTCTTTGATTTTTCTTTCTTACCACTCTCCGCGTTTTATGTGCTTGCTCGGCGAAAAAAAATATTGTTGGATATGCCAACTGCTCGATTTTATTATATTAACAATAGGATAAGTCGCTGGGGACATGGCCAGAAAAGTTTTTTTTGGGTTTCTTCCTACCCGCTCTATGTGTTTCGTGCATTCTCTCGGCGTCAAAGATCATTAAATAACTTGACTCTGCTTTCAGTAATTGATGAGTGTCCTATGATTTTACGTGTGAAAAATGGTCTAGCTTCGTATATACATACAGTGACGGACCTGATCCATTGGCCAAAAACCTACCATTTTGCATCCGGGAAGTATCAAAAATGTAGCAAGATACCTCCCTCTCCAAGTGAAAAGACTCCGGATTTCAAAAGTGCGCTTACTCTTTTTGGGGAGCAAAGGGCGCGTCTTTCAAAACGGATTTTTTTTTAGTTGGAGAAGAGGCGTTTTGCCACATTTTTGATACTTTCCGGATGCATAATAATGCGTTTTCTATCACGGGATCAGGTCCCACTGTACATACCTTTAGCAATTTGTTTTGATGGCAATCCTGCAACCTGTTTTAGTAAACAATTTTTTTCCAAACACCCGAACCCTCACCATTTTCGAATGTTTCAAAAAACGTACCGGACAAGTCAACGCGCAAATATTGTTATATAAAATATTATAAACGTCCCTGACCTTTCTTCCCTTTCCGGAATTTCCATTCCTTTTCGCTTTTCACGCCTTATCCAGAGAGGAAAACTTTTTTTCTTCGAATTTTTGTTTTATCCGAAGAAGACCTCGAAACAAATCTTTTGAATGTAATATTTGGAAGGAACGGAGTTTCTGAGCGTTCTTTTCGCCCTCCGAAAGATAAACTTTATGGGATGTAAAGGCCGGGAAAATTGGGAAGGAAACTGTGACTAATTGTAGCAATTTTGCAGCGTTTATTAGAATAATCGAAATTTTGCGCATTAGAGAAATTCTGGAAGTGCAATGCTCAGATTTTCATTTATATTTTGCTGACATGTTGGGGATAGGCCACATATTAATTACTAAAGATTTTAGCTCGCGATTTGCAGGGGCATCCGAGATATTGAACGATCTTTGCCGTTGAGAGAGTACGCAAAACGTGGAGAGCGGTCAGAGAGTAAATCACTTTTTTTGGCTGTATCTTTGAAGAGAAAAAAGAAAAATTTTTTCGTGTGGAAAAAATATTTTTTATTGAAGCATTACTCTATGCAGAAATAAGTATTAAACCATTCATGCCAAGAAATAAAAAGACACGTCTAATATTTCCACCAGGTTTCAGTCTCAAAATTTTGGATGTTTCTGCAAAGCGCGATCTAGGAGTCTAACATATGTCTGAGAAACGCTTAATTTAGAGATTTGTGCCAAGTTTCATCACAATCAAAGCGCAGCAATAGAGACATCTCTTTTGTTATCAATCTGTCGGGAAAATAGTGAACGCAATGTTGCTGCGCCGATCGTGTCGCTGAAACAAAAAGCAATTTGATTTTGCCGTGACAAAATCCACTTTCTCGGCGGCGATGCAATTTTCGATGCGATAGAGCACTCATTATTTTCCCGACAGGCAGATAGAGATCTCAGCTACCGTGGGGGACCTGATCCAGTGGTAAAAAACGTACCATCTTGCATCCCGGAAGTATCCAAAAATGTGGCAAAATACCTCCCTCTCCAAGTGAAAAAACTCAAATTTCAAAAGTGCGCCCGCTCTTTTTTGCGAGGAAAAAGGGTGCGCCTTTCGAAACGAGGTTTTTTCACTTGGATAGGGAATCATTTTGACACGTTTTTAATACTTCCCGGATGCAAAATGGCACATTTTTTGCCACTGGATCAGGTCCCCTACTGTATTGTTTTTTCTCAAATTGTCATCCGTTTTTAATATTTTCGATTGTTCTAAACTTTCTCCTCTCTGCAGAACAAAACATGGCCATATCAACACCTTGAAGCCTCTGAAGCCCCTTATCATTACAACATATTTGTTTTTGCTTACCTTTTCCCTTCTGATTTTCTAATCATTCTCCCCTCCCCGTATTGACTCATCTACGCATTTGCCTCGCGGGAGAGAGAAATTTTTATTCGTTTTTGGAGGAGAGGAAATAGTATTTTATGACTCAACATATTCTGTATTTATGTTTGGTGGGAATATAACTCATACATATTGAAGACATTGGTCGTACGGAATTTTGGAATTGGGTTCGGCGAATAAAAGATTCGAAAACGACTTTCAGACAGGTGAATGGGTGGTTTTGAATGGGGCTGGAGGTGAATTTGGAGTCCAAGGAAGGCTTAGAATAGACCTGGCCAAGCAGCGCAGATATGACAGTACGGCCGGGCTCTGCATGATTTGAAACGCAAGTCGACTGGTGATGACTCGTGACCGGGTTGGGGTTTAGGGCCTGACAACTTTTTTGGGCCTCGGACAGGGCTAATCTCAAGCCAGAAGGGCCTAGAAAGGCTCCTTGATGTTCCTCACTAACGTGGCTTTTCGTCAAAAAATTTATCGGAAAAAATCAGTCGAATATTTTCCTTCAATTTCTGCCAGTCGGAGCAGATCTCAAAAAATTTGTAAACCCTTAAAATTGTTAGGCTTGGGAAAAAATTAATTTTTTTTACCACACCAGCCAAGAAATCGACCATTTTTTTGATTTTTCGTTTGTAATGTAAAGTCAACTCTAAGAGGAGCCCCTATATATACTTATATATACTCTATATTAGCTTGCCCTTGGGCCCAACTTTACGGAGTGATCGTTCTACGGTAATGCCAGTCTGTCGAGAAAATAATGTGGATTCGTCGCGCCTTACATTGTTGGAATTGGCCATTGCTTTGTGACGGCAAGTTTGGTGCTCGACTGCGGCAAAATGAACTATTTTGCTGCCACAAATCCCCGTTATTCACTTGACAGACTGATAGTAGAATACTAGTTTGTTTGAAAACTTGTTGGAGTTTTTTCGTGACATGCACTATGCAAAAACAAAAGCTTATTTTGCACCGTGAAATATCTTTTTTTCGGCTGTCGCTCGCGCAGAATTTCTTGCATAGTGCATGCACCAAAAATCACTGCAGTGACTTTTCAAGCGGACTTGTCTCAGACAAGGTCCTATTTGGCTTATATTTCCCACACCGCCCGTTCCATCGCGAAGACCAATGATTAAAATTGAAGCCCACTTCAATTTTAATCATTGGTCTTCGCGCTTCAATTCAATTTTTAATAAATCTCTTCGCTTCGACCAAATCTCTCCATCGTAACTCAATACTCCCGCGATGATATCACGCTTATGAAATATGAATTGATCGGCGAAAAAACCGCTTTATTTAACTTTTTGGTTGTCCTTGATTCATGATTGTGCAAACAAACCCGCGCCTCTCAATTTCCCTATCGCTGTTTGAGGACGACAGCGCGTCATTCGAATGGATCGCCGTGAAAAAATAGCCGTTACCGCGGATGGGGGGAGCACTGCGACAGTGTGAATCAGAAGGTGGTGGTTTTGAGGGCCAAATGAGCTGTTAGTTTCTTGAACATAAGTTAGTGTTACGAGGTTTTTTCTGTTCCATTTTATGAAGTGAAATTTCAAAAATATCATCTATACTCCATTTTTATTGACAGTGAAAATACTGAAAGAACAACGCTTAGATTTCGATGAAAATTGGCACAAATTTAGAGTAATTTTTGCGAAGATTTATTCGAGAATCCTAGCTCCCGCTTTGCAGAAACGACCGAGATTTTTAGATCGAAAGTTTGACAAAATTTGAATTTTTTTCGGGAATTTCTGCGTAAAAAGTTTCATACATATTTCTACTCTAAAGGGTAATGTTTCCACAAAGAATCAATTTTTTCCATGCAAAGATAGCAAAGTTATGGCCAAGAAATGTTTTTCTTCTCACTCATCTCCGATTTTCGCGCACTCCCTCACTTTCCCTGTAAAAATAATTTTTTGCGTGTTATTGCGAGCCTAATCAGATGTTTTACCAATATACTATATATTACATATGTACATATATGTCATCTTTAGAACCCGCCAATTTGTAGACTCCTAACCATTTCCCAGCCGAATTCAAAGTGAAGGCCTACAAGGTCCCGAATGAAGCGATGGGTGGTAGCGCCACTGTAAACGCACCGCCCATCCGCTTCGATCGCCATTACTTTTTGAGTATCGGCTCGCATCTGAAGGTGTGCCAAATTGTAAGTTCTTGTCGTTTGATATGCGATATTTAGGGAAGATTTGCCCCCGTTTCAGTCGAAGAGGCCCCAAAAAAAGGCGAAGAGGCCCCCTTTTTCATTTTCGGAAAAAATCGAACAAGTCCCCTTTTCTAAGCAGGCCCCAAGAAGAAAAAAAAAATTTTACAAATTGATAAAATATGGTGTGACATGATACGATGAAAAATTTTTAAAAAAATTCAAAAATTTTTTTTTATCGAGTAAGATGTCAACATTCATTTCGATTTTTACACTGCAAAAAATCATCGTATAAAATGTCACACCCTGCATTTTCAATTTTCAAAAATTTGTTGATCGTATAACATGTCACCCCTCATTTTCAAAACTTTTTTTTAAAGGGGCCTCTTCGTTTTTGGGGCCTCTTCGGCACCGGGCCTCTTCAAAAAAGGCCTGTCTTTGACCTGAATCGTCTTCAACAACTTTGTTTCAGTTGCTGAACTTGATATCCTTGTTTGTCATCTTCGCCTGCTACCCCAATTCCTTCAACGAAAGCTGCCTGTGGCGATTGTATTCCTCGAACCAACTGTTCATCATCGTGTGTGTAAATGGGTTCTTCTTCGTCTTGACGACACTTCTATGGTTGGCAAATGCCTTCAGCTTCCCGGACGCCTATTATCAATTCAACTTTCATATTCTGGCACGTATCATTTTTTAACTTACTTTAGTTTTTTCAACAGACTTTTTGCTGTGTTTTCTTTAACAAGAAACATGTTTCAGGAGCGATTACACGCCTTATTTGCCATGGCCATGTACGTTTTGGCGATTGGGATTCTGGTGTGTACAAATACAAGGCACCATTTTTCAAGTGTTTGGCTGGTAGATTTGGTAAGCTGTACAAAGTTTTTATAGTACCAATTTCCGCACGCAAAGTCTTGAACACGCTGAAAACGTGTGTTTCATCTATAAATTTAGCACAATTAGACATGTGTAGGCCACATATCAATTCCTCAATTCTTTAGCCCGCGCTTTGCAGACCCAAGTTTTGTAGCCCTGCGCAAAAAAACCTTTTTCACTTGAAACGCAACCCTCTATGTTAAAACAGTGTGAAATTTTTTATGCCATAGTTCGAAAACAAGTGTTACATTTTAGCTGACTTTCGACCTCATAATCGCGGCCGATTCTGCAAAGCGCGAGCTAGGGGCAGATATTGCCACGGTCAAAATTTTGGCTCCGGCTCTACGGCTCCCATGAAAAATTTAAAAAGATCTCCGGCTCCGAATCCCGCCTCCCGTGAAAAATTTTTTTTTTAAATATGTTTCCAAAAATAAAAGTTATTAATGCCGGAGATCATACAGCCATAGCTTTTGCAGCCATCCTTCCCAGTATATATTTTTCAAGCAATTTGGTTTAACAAGATCATAAAATTTTTACTTTTCTGAACGCTGAGAATCCTGGCTCCGACTTTGGGTTCGGGAGCCGGGGCCGCACCCAAAATTTCCGGCTCCGGAGCCGTGGCAATCTCTGGCTAGGAGTCATGCTTATGTTTAAGGGAATTTGTTTTTTTTTTAACACAATTCATTTTCTCGGCGGCGATGCGATTTTCGATGCAACATAATGCTCATTATTTTCCCGACAGGCTGATAAATTTGCGTCAAGTTTCATCAAAATCTGAGCGTCACACTTGGAGTACCTCCCGCTTCAGCAACAATATCACTACGAAATTTTAAAGGCGCTCAAACAGACATTTTCATACATTTATAATTACTTATCCATCTTCAGGCCGCCCTCTTTATCACCCTTCTGGTCTACGCGTTGGATTATTGGCGTCGGCGGAAGGACGATGGGATCCCAAGACATCAGCAATCTTCCGGTCGTCGGATTCTGGCCTAACTGCCAGCGTCTGAAATCTTATATTTGTAGTCGACTTCGTATCATTCCAAACATATTCTCTTGTTCACTTTCCTAAGTCGTATTTTACAGAACAAAATATTAACCGAATTGTAAAATTACGTTATTTTAACACTTCTTTTTTTGGCCTAATTTCATGGCTATTTGATGGATCTCATAATAAACATAAAGACTTGTAATATACAGTCCATCTACAGTGCGATTATTGGTCGGGAATTTGAAAGGCCGGTCCCAATTTTCTCAAAAATCGAAGAGATTTGTAAATTTTACCTTGGGAATGACCGCTTTCCCACGTTTACTCGCCACTACTTTGCATAAAAATTCTCGAAAAGATAAAAAAAAATTCCCGAAATTATCATTTGCAACAAATTTCGCGGCTATTGCGGGAGATTGGAAATGAGGCAACGAACTCGAAATGATCTTGTCCTACAAAACATGGGGAACAGTGGAAGAGTAAGTTACTTTTTTCGAATGTAAGTAAACCTGGCGTTAAAATTTCTGGCTGCCAGACGCGTGCCTACGAATATTTCCCATGCTTGCGCAACCACTTTAAGCCCTCTATTGTTGCGATAATTGCGTTCAAAAGACGAGTCCATCGATAGCGCGCGAATTCTTCCAGGCGAATGGGTCCAATGAATAGAGCTCGGATATCTCACCCAAGGTAATTTATCCTGGATATCAGGCGCATGGAAAAAAGGGTTTTTGGCGCCGGCGTTTGCTTGGATTTCTTTCTGGATATATTATTTATTGTTAGAGGGATATGAAGGTCAAAAGTCATATTAGACTTTATTTATGCTTCTTTTTTACAAATTTTTGTGATTAAATAATTGGCGAGAAGTTGACTTTTTGCAGCTATGGAAACAGTTTACAAAATGCTCGTAGTAAGCAAAAAGCTAGGAAAAGATTACTACTACGAAGCATGCCATCCAAACCTGTAGGGTTTGTGTTGTTTGCAACTGGGATAGTAATGGTCCAAAATTTATCAAAATTACATTTCTGGATCCTGCAGAGCCTTCATTTTTATCTTACAGTTTGTCGGGAAAATCATGAGCACTCTGTCGCATTGAAAATCGCATCGCCGCCGAGGAAGTGAATTGTGTCGCGGCCAAGTCAAGTTGCTTTTCAATTCAGCGATACGATCGGGCAGCGAAATTGTACTCATTATTTTCCCGACAGACTGATATGTTTTTTTAGGCTTAAAAGCCCTCAGGCAACCTGGAATCTTTATTTTTTCTGATTTCACCGGCAGGACATAGAAAATCGGTCGTTTTTTGAATGAAAATTGAAAATTTTTGTCTAAATTTAATTTTGAATTTCAAAGTCCCTGAGGCAATGTTGCAATAAAAAAGCTAGATGAGTAAAAAAGGCCGACCCAAAAATATAAAAAATATAGTTTTCACAAATTTTGGACTATTATTTTTAAAGTCTTTAGCAACTATACCATCTCACAGTCACTTATCGCCCAGCCTGCAGCATAATCCACTAAAAATTTCAATTTTTCCTCCCTTTCAGATGTCCGGACAAGACGACCGTCTCCGCCAGATCTCTTCGAATCCCCCCAACCTCGTTGAACAATGCGTTGAGGTCTTGAAGTCCCCGCATCTGCCGAATCGCCTTCTCGCGTTGAATTTTGACCCCCATTCCTCGCCGCAGAGTTCCGCGGAAAATATCGGAATTCAAAGTCAAGACGATTACTTGGCCCTGAAGAGAATGCATTGGCAAAAGCAGGAGAAATGGCAACAGGAAATGAACCAGAATTTCGAAAGACAGGCGAATCAAGCGGCCGTGCAGAACGGAATGAATGTGAATCGATGGTAAGTTGTTTGGGAAGGACAGTGTTTTAAAATTATTTGAGATTTTTTGATCATTCTAGAAGGTTTTTTGTTTTTTAGTATTTTCACGAAGTGCATGGACTTTTTTTGACTTTCGCACAGTGCATTTTGAACCTTTTCCCAGGCTTGTCGCTAACGCACAGTGCATTTTCCTTTTTTTGCACAGTGCAAAACTCAAAAAAGCCGTTTGCACTGTGCAAATTTATGACACCGACCCAGCGACACGGTTGAAACTTCTTTTTGTCGCTGCGATATTTCGCCGCACAGTGCAAAAAAAACCAAAGAAAAAGGTGAAATGCACAGTGCGGGATGGGGTTTTTTGTGCACGGTGCGGGGCGCGACAAACCGGCAAGTGAAAAATGCACTTTGCGTCGGCGACAAGCGTGGGAAAAAAATCAAGATGCATATTGAAAGTGCGAAAGCCAAAAAATGCAAAAAAAGTCCATGCACTTTATGAAATTGCTAAAATGCACAGTGCAAGATAGTAGTTCTCTTTGCACGGTGCGAAACGAAAAAATGTCCATACACTTTATGGAAATACTAAAATTTACTTATAGGTTCGCTCAGTCAGCCATGGAGCAACAGCTGAGAAATATGACTCAAAATTCGAATTCGGCAAAGGTCAGTCATCCCACTTTACTGACCTTGCATTTAGGTGGCGCAGAAAAGAGGCAGAAAGCCCAATAAGTCATCAGAATCTTCCGGTCGTCGGCGAAATCGCCAGATCTCGACCCCCGCCGATCCTTCGGGCTCAGGATTTCAACTCTCCAACAACAGTGTTGGCAAACCGTCGCCTAGGAGAAATTCGGATGCTCATAATGCAGCTAAGGTGTATGTGGACGAGCAAGGTGATGATGAACATGTGCCAGTTTACCATGAATTGGAGGTTGCGAGGGATCTGAGAAGCATTGAGATGATCAGAGAGTACAGAGGGTGAGCGTTGAGTTTCATTGGTTTTTTGAAGCATTTCTGCTTGAAATATGCAGTGCATGTACATAATTATGTTGTAAAGATAAGGTAGTATTCCCAGGAGAATGCTCCAAGTGCAATGCTAGTTTTTGATGAAAGTTGGCACTAATTTAGATTATGTTTTTCTAGGATATATTATGCGAGATTTTTAGCTCTCTCTCTTTGCAGAAACGAAGGAGATTTTTAGCTCTAAAGTTAAAAGAAATGAGAATGTCTTTTTCTGCCAATTTTAGCATGGACAGTTTCTTCCCTATTTTTATCGTAGAGAGTAATGTTTCCACAAAAAACCATATTTTTTGTCTTAAAACCGGTAAAGATTTGGCCAAAAAGTGTTTTTCTCGCCAAGTTTTATTCAACTTTCGACCTAAAAATCTCGGTCACTTCTGCAAAACGCGATCTAGGACTTTCGAATATGCCTTCGGAAAAGTAAAATTTGTCCCAAGTCTCATCAAAACCTGAGAGTCGCACTTTGGGCCTTCCCTTCTTAATCTTTCAAGCTCTCTGACAACCAGCTTTCTTTAGATCCACACACAGCATCCTCGGCTCTGAAAGCGATGTTATCGCTCGGTCATCTACCGGAGAACTTTACCAACCGCCATCCTCAACGCCGGCGTCAATAAGCTTGAATAATCCGCTAGTCCACCCCGACTCCCTTTCAACTCAATCCAACTACTTACAAGCCAATGAATTCAAACAATTATTCGAGTATCTCGGCTAGTCATCCTTTAGTCATGCCGCAGATTGTGTTCATAGTTATGTCATTAATGTTTTTCCAATGCAAATGCAAGACTTGCAAATAAATTCGCCCAAAATAATTCTTAATTTTCTCTTTTCTTCTTGTGCCCTCACCAACTTCTGAATGCAATGAAATTGCCTCGAGAAGTGGCCCACAAAAAAAAAGAAATTTTCTCCGAATTACAAGTTCGGTGCTAGAGGAGGCGGAAGTACCCAATTCCCCAACTCAGAGTGACCGCGAAATTGGTCCTTTCATTTAGTTTTTTTTCTTGCACTAAAAAACTCCCGAGAATTGTTTCGATTTCTAATTGTAAGTGTTGAGGTCACAGGCGCGTTGACAGGAATACTAAACCGTTTGCAAAGTCGCTGGAATGATTTTTGGTGTTTGCACTGTGCAGAAAAAGTCAGTGTGCGACAGCCGAAAAAAGCTTGTCGCACGCTGAAAAAGTGCAACAAAGTAAGAAATTGCACATGCTTTATCGCGCAGTGCTTGTCGCCGAAATCGCTCCAGCGACTTTACGATCAAACTAAAGTAGTTCCAGAAAGTGCGTAGACTTTTTTTTGTTAGCCGCAGTGTAGACAAATTCCGGTACAACTACTAGTAATATCAGTCTGTCGGGAAAGTAATGAGCACTCTGCCGCATCGAAAATCGCATCGTCGTCGAGTAAATGAACTATGTCGCAGCAAAATCAACTTGCTTTTGACTTCAGCAACGGGAACGGTGCAGCGACCTTGTGCTCATTATTTTCCCGACAGAGTGAAAGCTTGCCATACGATTCTCGTTTCATCCGTAGCATGTGAAAAATTAAAAGACGGCTGATGCTGGGCCATAGTCAAAAAAAGCAACAAAAAATGTTCTTTTGCGGTCTTACATGTCTTCTTGGAAAGTATGAAAGCCCCGACTAATGCGCCAATTAATCAGAGTTTAAACTATCCGTAAATGTCTAGTTTTTGCTCATACCTCCAACCTAAACCTTGCATTATTTCCATTTAAAAAGTCCAGATTTTTAAACCATCCAGTGATTTCTAGTCATTGGGCAATTGTAAATCCCCTCCATAAAAAGAAATTGGGGTCTATTCATCTCTAATACTCCATGTATTGTATGTCCGCATAATCCGCGTAAATCCCGCTGCAAAATTCTCCCAGACTTCCGGGCTGGTCGATGAACTTCGGCGCCGCATCCGTCACCCCGCCGTTCCTTCGGGCCCATCTAAATTTGGCCGGCTGGAAGTTCCTTTTTTTCGACATCAAAGCTCTTCACGCGTGCTAGCCGAGAACGTCCGGCTCAATGCCTGCGGGCATTGTCCGACTAACGGCTTTGTTATGACCATCTCCAAAATTTTATGGATTAATGTTCGGTTGTAAACAAAGGAGAGGGTAAAAATAGGAAGGGGTTCGCGTGAGACGGTCCGTGGTCGATGGGGTTTTTGGAATTGGAATTTGGTAATATGGCGAGCGACTTGTTGAATGTTAATGTGTATAAAGGCCCTAGGACTTGTTGGGAGACAAATTTTTAAACCCATTTTGTGAGCAATCAACTTTTCTAAATATCTTTAGTATTTTCCTTGTCATAGGGGATGTTAGTCTTTCAGGAAAATAATGAGCACAATGTCGCATTGAAAATCACATCGCCGAGGAGAAAATGAATTGTGTCACGGCAAAATCAAATTGCTTTTCGCTTCAGCGACGCGTTCAGCGCAGCGACACTCTACTCATCATAGAATGGTACCATCGGTTTTGGAAAGCCTTCATTTACTGTCAAACCTCTGCACAACGAATTGAAATTGACCAAAAGTTCACTACATACAGTGGGGACCTGATTCAGCCCCACTGTATATGAGTGTTATACAGGGTGTCCAGAGAAATTCCGCGGAAAGTGTTTGCCGATTTCTCGGCGCTCAGGCAAGATATGCCAAAAATTCTTTTTGCATTAGAAAGAAGAATATGGGCGGTTTTTTGTCTAAAAAAGTTTTTTTGTCCGCCGACGCGGAACATACTGTATTCGGCGGAGACTTTTGATCGCTTTTTTGGTCATCACACCAATCTTAAAAGCTTCAGTACGATTTCTGATGGTTAAGAAGAGAATGTTATCTTATTTTTATGTTTACCAAACGTTCGGCAATGGAATGGCGAGTTTTCCGTATCGGCGGAGGCCACAACTCGGCTTCGGATAGGAGATGTCCCAAACATTATGTGGCTAGCATTCTTTGCTAATCCCATATGCTATCCAAAATTTCGTCGCCAAGCCTTGGCAGCAGCTGAGCCATCAGTAAACCACTTGGTGCACCAGAAAACAGCAAAATATTTTTTTGTTTGAACTTCTCTTTGCCCCGCTGTTTCAAACCTCCGCACGGTGCGGTCGGACTTTATCGCTGCTGACGCAACTACACAGTGCGGTGCAGTCGCTAAATGCGATTGCATAGCATTGTCGTCGGTCCCCTGATCTTTTGTGGAAAAAACTGAAGGCTTCCCGATAGTTTCAGGAGCATAGTAAAGCGCTTCAGATTGGTGTGATGACCAAAAAAGCAATCAAAAGTCTCCGCCGAATACAGTATGTTCCGCGGCGGCGGACAAAAAAACCTTTTTAGACAAAAAAACCGCCCGTATTCTTCTTTGTAATACAAAAAGAATTTTTTGGATATCTTGCCTGAGCGCCGAGAAATCGGCAAAAGCTTTCCGCGGAATTTCTCTGGACACCCTGTAGAAAGGGTTCTTCATACTATTAGGCATGTTTCTTTTGACCTGAAATTGGCGCAGATTACCCATAAAACTAGTTGGTATAGGTAGGTTTTTTGCAGAGAGGCTCCACTATAATGGATTGTTCTCTTACCAAAAAAATGCCACAATTTATTTTGAAAAAAAGTGACTCTAAAAAGACAAAATAAAACAGATTCATTGTAGTCTTTGGGCCTTTTTTTCAACCACCTTCCGATGATGTTGCGTAGTCTGTAAAGCCGTCAAATCTGCCTTTCACCGGGGAGGATGATCCCTTCTCTTTGCGCGTGCTGAACGCCAAACCCAAGTCCAACCAAGTGTAATGTCATTTTTGGAGTTTGGACTAGAGCTCTTCATCCCTCAACTCTGACGGTCCATCCAAAAATTTTTTGCGAAATTCGAACTCGAGTGTTGTTTTTGTAATCTTCTCCCCGTCTTACCGCACCATGAACTTGCTTCGTTTCTCTCCGCGCTCTCTCTCCATCTCCGTCGCTTTTTCTCTCTCCCCCTCCTCCGCAATGAGCCCACTATTTCCGCGGATTCGGATGTTTTTTGCGGCCTGTGTTTGGGCCGACCGTGAAAGGGCCTCAGGGCCGTCTTTTTCATGCCCCGCGGGCACGCCGCCTCGCACTTTTCGCTCCTCCGGTATTGTTTTTTACGAGCACATTACATTTATTTCCCCATGTACCTAGTCGCGAAGCCCCCTATCAATAACTCGGTGGGTAATTTTAATCTCGGTTACTGTAGAGCCATATACGGCAACAAATACACTGGAAGTTAGAGGTCTAGAGGTCGGGAAGAAGCGGTATATACACATGTATAAGAGTAGAGATAATTGCGTTTTTTGGTCTTTTACTGGGAACGGGGAGGGCCAAAAACAGCGGTTTAAACTGTCAAGTACCTTCTTGGGATTATGGGGAGCTATAGTCCTTCAGCACTTGTTTTTTTTTGTCGTTTGACACGTACTGATGCTTGAGGCGCTTAATGAATTTTTTTGTGAAATTTTGTGTACAAAACTGGGGAAACATGACCATAAGTAGAGTAAAAATCAAGTTTAGTTAGTTGAAAGTCGGAGATCTCCTTAATAAGTACCCCAAGTACGACGCTCAGATTTTGATGAAACTTGGTACAAATTTAAAACAAGCGAGATTTTTCGGTCGAAAGTTGGCGGAAAGTTGACACTTTTTGCCGAATTTCGGCACGAAAATTTTATGCCTATTCCTACCATAGAGGGTAATGTTTCCAAAAAAATCAGTTGTAAAATTACGGCCAAAAAGAGTTTTTCTCTCTAACCGCTCTACTCTTCTAGCGTACTCTCTCGGCCGCAAAGGTCGAGCATGCGGCTGTCACTGCGAAGCGCAACCTAATGTTTGATGTATGGCCCGTTCCTGACATGTGTGCCAAATTAGAGGAAATCCGAGCGTCGCGCGTTCGGTGGAAAATATCGCTCAATATCTTGACAGCGCTTGAAAAGCGCGAGCTAAAACTCTCCGGAATTGATACAGAGTTCATGACCGACGTATGTGCAGAATTTAAAGAAAATCTGAGCGTCGTACTTTGGGTAGTTCTCTGTAAGAAAAACCCCTTTGGTTTCTGCAAAGCGCGACAGACGTCTCGTGTTTGTTTTTACAAAAAATTCTAGAAAAAAATCAAAATTTAGAAAAAAAAAGTTTCGTCGAAATCTGAGCAACGCATTTGGCCAAGTTTCTTCTTTGCTATTACGTAGCCTCAAGATTATCTTTATGCCCCTCCTTTTACTCTAATGTCTGTTTTGAAACCCACTGTGTTCTTTGTAATTAAAATTAGAAGTCGGGCTTCAGACGAAGAGCAAATCAAAGAGCCTTTTCGAATGTTTCGGCAAAGTCCTTGGAAGTTGCAAGTCGGAGTAAAATAACTTTTTACTCTGATTTTCACCTTGAATTTTGTGAAAGTAGTCTTTGGAGTGGTTTTTTAAGAACAGAAATTTACAGTAACGCGTGGTTTTTGAGTTGTTTTAAGGCTAATAGGTGCGCTAATTTGCTGTTTTTGTGTTATTAAACTTATTTACATGGGAAATGTTTCACTTTTCAAAGATAAAAATATTTTGAAAAAAAGTTGTCAGAAAAGCGTTTCTCTCTCTGACCTCCCTCCGTGTTTCGTGTGCTCTCTCGGCCGCAAAGACAGTTGAATATCTTGGTTAGCACTGCGAAAGGCATGCTAATGTTTTCAGGACTTGATGTATGGCCGATTCCTGACGTGAGTGCCAAATTATGTAGAAGAAATCCGA